ATTTGGAGGAATAAAATTGTTCCTGTTTTGATCCAGGCAATCATGGATTTTTCCAAGATGGAGCTTTTCTAATAAGGTCACCTTTAATTGAACTAACACAAACAAATAGGGCATTGATTAATTTTTAGAAGTAGTGTACTGCTTGCTGTTGAGTGGGAAGTTGGCCTATGGAAAGTGTCACTGAAAATCCTGTGTTTAATATTTGTTATGCTCTCATTCTTTTTAGGAAGTGTTTTAAATCATACATACATGTATATATATACATATAGCACAACATTTTCCCCCTTCTCTATTCTGTAATAATCCAAAGGACTTTGGTAAAAGACATGGAATGTTTCTGAAATGAGACAGAAGACATTAATTTGGCTTCCACTCCTTGGTCTTGGCATTGAAAAAGTAATTAATTGGCAAGTTAAAATATTCCCTTTTAGTTTCCAATGACCTAAACTGCTTTAAGTCCACAAACCATCAGTCTTTCTTCATCTTCCCTTCCTTTCTTGAGGCCATTGGTATTGATTTTATAACAAGCAGGGTCTGGTATCATCAAACCCAGCTGCACACATGCTGAGTGATTGCTGTGACATAACAAATTACATTTTCCACAGGATTTAGTCAAATGTGTTTTCGTTTATAATCTTACCCCCCTAAAAAAAAAAAAACAAAAAAAAAACAATTAGTAGGACTTGTTCATTCCTTCAGCACTTCCATCAGTTACAGGGAAGATAGTTATAAGACAAAGGAGAAAATAAGTACCAAGAAAAGACATGTTTGTCAGGTAGCTAATTTCTGAGAAACGAAATGTACCCCTAAGGTCCTTTTAGCTAGATATAGTTAAACACTGCATTCCTAGATCCTGATGGTGGTGTAGAACTCAGATCCTTGTATCTCTCCTTAGTATCTGAACACCTATGGCTTTTTCTTATCACATTTGAAGAGCTTATCTTTAACAGTGTTCCCAGGTATTCACAGCATGCAACTTTCAATCAGACAGTAGGACTGTTATCAATTATTTATTATATATGTAACAGTAACACCCAGTGGTAGATCCAAGCCAAACTAGAGTCCTGTTGTGCTAACAACAATGTGAGTGAATACACACAGAGACATCAACTCTTCTGTTGTTTTCCAGGGCATGATATTTATAGATGATGATGCAGTGTCAGCAGCAACCAGTATTGTGGTGCTCTTAAACAGATAAAAGGCAAAATGTACTATTGATGTAACACAGTTATCAAACATAGAATGTAGGTTATTTATCTGTATTTTTGACTAAGTGATCTGAATACTAGAACTGAAAGGCATCATTTAAAATGAGAACAGAAAATTATGGTTTGCTTTCCTGATGTCAGCTAAGAAATCCAAAGAGTATTTTGCTACCCTTTAAGTCTTTCCTTGCTGATTTCTTTAGTCATATTGCTATATGTAATATGCATTTGAATTTTGTTTTGTCAGTTTATTCATAAAGAATTCCAAGCAGAATATAATTACTTCAGTCTTAGATGGTACTTTTTCACACTGTGTCACTTTTAAGACTTGCAATGTACTTCAAGATGTCACATAGTGAGAGCTTTGAGCTCTATTTATTTACAGTACCTACAATGTTCCTCTAATCGCAAATCCTATCGGCGTGCAAGAAAAGGTAGGCAGTTTGATTCCTTAAAAGGCTTTTGGTCATGTCAACCTAGAAATGATACAATCTGTTCTAACTCCAAGTGAAGTCAGAAAAATCTTTGCCAAGCATTTACTCTTGACCAAAACTTTAAAAATGTTTATAGATGTTCTTGTTGCATCTACCAGGGAAGAAAAATCCTGTTGAGTTAGCCACATGAAGGTTCTTCCTGGTACTGTGCTGTAAAGAATGTCCAGACATTCCACATCTCAGCTCCATGCCTGCTGACCCTGGGAATGTCAGCCATTAAACGCTGAATAGAAGTATTTGGAAATTATGTTAATCTTGTAATTTCCTCAGATGTTGAGAAATCAAATTATATAAACAGCCATATTCTATCAGTTCAAATTTATTTTGGTCACAGCAGCAGATTCAAAGCAAATGGTCACAAAAAACTTTTCTAATTCATGTGCATTTGCCTCAAACTGTAGCACATCTCTTCCCTTTTTAACAACAACAATTAAAAAAAAAAGCCACAACACACCACCACCACCACCAAAAAAAAACCCAAAAAACTAGCAATTTGAGTAGTTTAGAAAACCAACAGTTAATACACCTAGACCAAACCTGAGTTACTACTCTGAACTTACTGAACCAGCAAAAAGGTGACAAAATTTACCATCTGTGTTTTGGAGCTGCTCTCTGCTTAGTTCCTCTAAGTGAGGTTGCTTACTGAGACCACTTCTCTTTAAAAAGATTGTCTACATGTGGCTACCCTATACAAAAATCTTGGCCTTGTTGCCCCTGCCTTTAACAGTGGTGCCTCACAAATCAGAAGGAGGGAAATCAGGGAGAGCAAAGATGGTGATAGAACATATTTATTTGGTGGTCTTTCATTATACTTTGGGCATACATATTTGCTTTGTTGGTGTAATTTCAGAAAAATAGTATATCTAATAAAAAAGGTGCAGGGCACATATTTCTGAGTGTATAGAAAGCAGGAGGATCTGAGGGTTTCACTATTCGGACGTTAAGACACAGCTTAGGGAATGCAGGCTTCGGTAGATCTTCTCACGGAACTGCTTGCTTCCACATACAGCAGTTATGACATTGCATTTGCTTCTGTGTCATGGAGAAATTGCTCCATAAAACTCTTCCCAAACGTGATGCTAATGAATAGATGTTTCATTTATTTATTTATTAATTTTGCTAGATGATTGATCATGCCACAAACAGAAGCTGATAATCACCTACAATGTCCAGTGCCTGCTTTCTTTGGGCTGCAGTTGGATGAAAATGTTATTTTTTTGACTTTTTTTTTGAGATCATGCAAGTTTTTTTTTTTTTTTCCCCACTTGTTGACTGAGTCCTGTTTTTAACACTCTCTTTTTTTGTAACAGAAGGAATTGTTTATCAGAATGAAGACAACAGCTCTAGCCATGTAATTCTTATGTACTTTTGGTCTGCTTCACTCTTGTCTTTTTAATTAAATTGTCTGTCCACAGCTGCCAAAACCAATTGAAATCTGTCATTTTAATGCAAATTAATGTTTTTGTTATGCTACAACTACTTTAAAAATGTCAGCCTTTAAAGTCTTTGAGTCTTTGCAAACACATGGCTGATGAAAAAATCAACAGCGACAGGCCTTATTTTGTTTATGTAGGTTGGTGAACATGCTTACCCCTTCACAGGCCCCCACTTTCTTCTCTGAATGAAGTCCATTAGAGATGAGGTACTTCAAGGTGTGTAGACATTTCAGTCTTGGTCTCCTTCGTGTGTTTTCTGGTAGTATTTAAAGCATGATGATAGACTTATAAGGTTAACTTAATTTCAGCTTCTTTACTCTAACATGGTCTATGAACTCCAAATCTCCTTATGTAGAAAAAAAAAAAGCTCTCAGTGGAGCCAGGATAACTGAAAAGAAATGATGGTGATTGCTCTCTGATGTTATGGCTGAATCTCTCTCCTCCTGCTAACTTTTTCGGAAGGAGAATTGTTTTCAGAAACTTTGGGTTTGAAGAATCAAATTCTGAGTTCCTGAGGCTGACTCAGGCTTGGTGTTCTGTGCTTCATAACAGTCTCTTTCACCTTTTAATTTGTCCAGCCAAAACTACAAATAATTAACCCACAGTATTTTCAATTGAGTGGTTTTTATTAACCAAAATACAAAGAAAATCAATTAAAACATTTTGAATACAATGTATTTGATTTAAATAATTTTGATAATTACAACTGTTACAGGCTATGGAAAGCAATATTAAATGAATTTAATAATTCAACTCATACCCAACATCTGATGTTAGCGGAATGCTAAGAGCAAGAAGTCAAACACTCAAGTGTTAGGTAGCACTAGAATTAGGATCACCCAGTGCATATTAATTCTACCTTCCTGCGACACTGCTGCTTCCTACTTTCTCTCATTGAGGAATATCATCTTCCTGACAAAGCCACGATGTGGGTTGACTTATGCAGATTTGAACAGAAGAAGAACATATCATAGGAAATGGCTGTATACTGTTAAATGGACTACCTGCAAAGAACAGATGCACTATACTTTTCTAACGAAGTTCTCAACCACTTAGGAAATGGTGGGATGCCTTTGTTCTGAGCATCACTTTGGGACAGAGACTGCATAACGACTAAAGGTATAGCTGCAGAGAGTTTAGTTCAATGCAGATTTCGCGCAGTGATGGTGCTGTGTCACTGGCCCTGTGGTCTGTTCTTGGTGCTGCTCATTGATGACCTTATAGATGATCTTTGAAAAACATCAGAAAATGATACTTGTGCACCATATGGGAGGGATTTGGGGCAGGGATCAGATGTAAACAGGGCTATTGACAGCAGTCAATAAATGATGTGAGACCAATACCCGCTATCCGTAATTCACGGCCCGCAGCATCTGCTCTTATAAATGGAACTTGGTAGAGGAATGTTCCTCAAATATGGTTGACCCTTAGATGCTTGACCTTGAACACAGACAGACAGAACAGAGCTGCTAAATTCAGAAGTGCAGCAAAAACTTTGCAGATCTGCTTGCTGGGCTTCCTTTCAAATCTGGAATGAAGTGGGCACCTTATTACACTAGTATCACTCTGTTCTGCAATGAATTAGTCTAATGATGGCACAGAAGACCAGACTTTGAGGTGGATGTTTTAGTATGAAAGTAAAGTCAACAAAGTAAGCCCAAAAAGCATTTTTTGTGTGTGTGTGTTTCTAAGTGATAAACATTAATTAGCTTGAATTTATTTTTTCTTTTGTCTTTGCCTAATGGTATTTCTATAGAAACTTTCAAAGTGTTAGGCATTGTGTTTTAACAGTTCCAGACTAAAAGGACTAGTTGCAAATCATACCATCGAGTTTATTTTTACTTATTTTTTTTTTTTCCTTACAGGCAACTGAAGAGAGTGTAGGAGCAAGAGAGGAAAATATCACTAGGATTGGACCTGTAACCTCCATTGTTGCTGTCCCCTTTCACACAGCACTCCTAATTGCCTGTCGTTCACTGCTTGTTTGGTGTGCTTTCATGGGGTAAATTAGATTTAGGGCTACTAATGCTATATCAGAGTGCCACAGAAATACTGCCTGAGTATGAGGGCTACACAGCTGGTTAAGATCTCTTCTAAAATTTGTGATGTTCTAATTCTGTGAAGGTAGGAGTTATGCCAAGTATTGTCTCTACCCACATTGCCCCTAAAAGACCGTCACAAAAGCCTTTAGTCTAATTAAGCTCTAGATTATGTGCTTTCAGAATCTGTCAGTGGTAAGTTCATATATATGTACCCTTTGTCCAAATCCCACTTGCACTGTTGGTGATGTAGAAACACAGGGTTCCACTGTTAATGATCATAAGCCTGTAGACAGAGAGGAACCAACTAATGGATTGCTAAATGCACATCCTAGCTTGATTTAAGGAGGTGTCTTGGGTTTAAAAAATTAAGGTGAAATTAAATAGCCTATTATTAGCCTATATAAGAAATCTGTGCAAGGCTGAAGACAACAGAATGTATTATCATCCAAAGCAGAGGTAAAGACGTACTGATATCTTTATTATGTATTTAATAAAAAAATCCTGTATCTAGATTCAATTGCAATAGAGCCTGTGTAGGTTTGTAACTTTTCATAAATTCATTCCAGATTCTGGCCTATTCAAGAGACCAGAGTTATAAATATTTCCCATTATTTCTATTCCTCAAATTTTTTGATTTATCCAAGGCGTTCTTCGTTCTCACCTTCTCAGGTAAGGACCTTCTCACCTTCGTTCTTGCTCTTCATTTTGAAGACATCAGTTCAGAGAAGTGGCTGAAAGATAGAAAAACACAGACACAAAAAAAAATTGTTTGACTGCAGGTATTCACTGTAAAATATTCCTCTTTTTCTAGAGATGATATGAAGGTGAATCAGGAAATGGATGGCATTTTCAGGTCACATGAGTCAGTACCTCAGAATTCATCATTTTCACCAAATATCCGACTGCTTTTAGGGACTTGAAGTTAGATGGCCCTTATTTAATGCTGATATAACAACTCCTTTAACTGCCTTATCTGTCAGAGACTTTAATGAAAAGAAAGAGGCAATTACCAAAATGAGCTCACAGAACACATTTATAAATGCAAGTGCACATTTGTTTGTTTTATAGTTGCGTTGAAAATATCACCTTAAGCATTTGTTATAAAGAGCCTTAATCATACAAACACCATGAGAAATACTGCTTTATTCTCTCTTTTGATCACAAACAGTAAATAAAAACTCATCAGAAGCACACCTAGCTCTCAAAAGTCAAGTAATTTAGAATCTCATCTCACTGTTCCTAACTCAGAGATATTACAGATGCTAGACAGCGTAACCTTTAGATACAGCACATAATGTGAGGCAATCATCTGACAAAAACAGAAGAGAGTTTGCAACTGACATTTATTTCCCTGTGATTTAAAGCAAGTATTGCTATGGTGTCTTTTGCTAAGACAAATAAAATTTTTGCTCAGTCTGAACTTGTCTAATGTCTGCTACTGGGGAACATGCTACTAGGGATGCACAGCTACAGCCTTGCCTGTCCTGCTTTTTAACAGCATACTGCTGGAACTGCCTGAGGATGGCAAATTTCAATTCTCTGGGTCACCTGCTTTCCTGGGGTGGAGAAGCCATTCATAGTTGTACTCATAACAACATCAGAAGCCCCTGACATTTAAATGCAGCAGAGTCACGGTGATCCAGTTGTGGAGGATGACTTTGCCAAATGCAGGTGGGAAAGGCTCACACCACAGAAATGCAGCTGGCCAAATGCTTTATTGTATCTCAGTGGGAAAGAAGGAAGAGACAGTAGTGTAGACCTGATGAAAGGTCTCTCAGCGAGGCTGAATAAGTGAGGTGGACTCAAGATACAGGACTGAATTGATGCTGGGTTCTTTAGAACTAGTTTGGGAGAGGGAACTTGTTCGCGTGTACCGTGCTCCAGCTGCTCTGTTTGGGAGAGTTTGCAGTTATCAGGAGAGTTTCTTCTGAGTAGCAGATGATGTGATTGAAAAAAAAAACCACAACTGGTGTTTCCAATGGAGTGAAAAAAATAATAATAATGCAATGGTAATAAAACCTTTGAACTCTGGTGTTGTGAAGCAAGCTGGGATTTTCACCATGACTGAAGCATAAAGCGCAGCACAAGGCTCAGTTTGAAGCTAACTCCTCCTTCCCTCTTTTTTTTTTTTTTTGTCCTTCCCCCTTTTAACCTAACTTAAACTTTGTGCTTACAGTGCCTGACTGTGTTTTCCTAAATGACGAAAGACAGCCCTACTATTCAAGGTGCTCTTGATGAGTAGTGTGGAGACAGGCCTTCCTTTACACTGTGTCTTTCCTACCTGAACAGATGGAAATCCACCCCCTTTGCTGCTTTCTATTGCTCCTTATATCCTGGCACCACAGGGAGGAGCTGAAACCTGGCTTCCCACCAAGCTGGACGAAAGCCTGACAATGCTGTGCAGCCTTTCCTCTTCCAACTGCACTGCCTGACTGCATGCTGCCACCCTGTAACATCTGAGGCTCTGTTTCCTTGTAAGCAAGGATCAAGAATTAGTGTCAGCTAGAAATATGGCAGGAAAATAGAGGGCAAGGGAGGAGGAGGTCCATACTGGAAGGAAGGCTGGATGGAACTGGGACTTGGCCCTGTGAAGGCTTTTTTCTTCCTTAGATCATATAGCAGCTGCTTCTTTCTTCCCTGTCCTCCGGGTAATACATCTGGATTACATTAGGGTATCCTTTCTTATTTTGGGTGTAGTAGCACACAGAGGCTTAGCCTAGAACTGAGACACCATGGTACAAGGTACCTATACAGACACCATCCAAAGAACTAGCTCCTGATTGCATGGGTTTATTATAATTATAATATGTCTGGGGATTGCTTTGCCTAAAATTGCTTATCTTGCTCTCTCAACTCACCTGATTTAACTCTGCACTTAGACCTAGAGTTTAAATTATATAACATTTGGTAGCTTTAGCTCAAATACAGTTGATCTCATGACCAATTTCATACATCTTAGATCTTTGACCATGAGCTTCTCAAAGCAAAATCAAGTGGCATATCATTAATCATTGACTTTACCGTTGCTCTTGCCTGAGATTGGTAGTTAGTTATAAAGCACATGACTTAAAACCTCTGGAAGTGATATAAAGTATGATTTCAATGTAGTTTTTCTTAGGACACACTGTGTATCATTAACCAGGTATCATATTATAGCTATAAAGGTCTCCTATTTATTCAGTTATTCTTTTAACATGTATACCCATTCTTTCATAGCCAAACTGCAGAGGAATTGTTAGGGGCTAAAGTACGCAAGTATGCTTCACTCTGGGTGCTAATGATTTATTTTTTTTCTGGCAGTGGGTTTTGCCTATACTGTGTCTACCTTTCATTGTTGAAGTACTGATATATATATATATATTTCTTTTTCTTTCAGCAGTTGGAAGAACAAACATATCTCCTATTTAAAAAGGAAAAGTCTAAAGTTATTGTAATAGATGAAGACATAGACAAAACATGAGACTTTCCAATATGGACAGATACATCTTAAAAACACAGCAAACAACTTAATGGGGTGTGTATATGAATCATCCTATATCTGCAGTTACTTTGATAGCACTTTTCAGTTGTTAAATGAATTCTTAGAATTATTTTCTAGAGATGAGGAAATTTCACAGGAACACGATGCTCCATAAATATTCATTACATTGCTGTCTTACAAAACAGTATCGTTACAACTAAGGAAACATCCTTGACTCTCAGGGCTATATGACTGGGATGGAAAAAAATGTTGGCCTTTGGTATTTTTTGTGCCTTTTTTTCTTCCATACCAAAAAACAATCAGTAAGGATGTTCCAAATTCCAAAGGCTTCATTTTTGATGGTAATTACAAACTTTCATTAACATTTCTCCTTGAAAAAGTTTCTTTTATCACGTAGCCAAAGTTGCATTCTCCCCTGTGCTGGATGTTTCAAGCTCTTTGGCTTTGCAACATTTTGGCGCTCAGATAAGTTTTGACTCTAGCTGTTTTAATTAAGTATATTTTCAAGGGATTACTCTAGCAGTGGATCAATTCCACGTTTTTGTTTGTTTTAATAAACTCTCGCTGCTTTTAGCCGTCTAAATGGAGGTCTCGCTGCAAACAGCACAAGCCAGTTTGTGCTGCGGTTCGTAGCAGAAGCATGCAAATGCTGCCATGAGAGAGAGAGAATAAAAAAAAAAAAAAGCAAAAAAAAAAACAGCTTTGATGGCATTCATTAAAACACACGGACGAACGAAAACAACCCTGAGCTTTAACACAGATGTGCGGGCTGCATCCAAAAGGCACGCAGCGGGAGCTCGGCCACGTACCTGGGGAAGATGCCTCGGTGCCACGTCTCACCGGCCCGTCCACGCCGCCGGCCCTCTCCGGCACCCTGTGGGGCTGACACGTCGCTCCGTGCTCCAGGGGAAGGGGCGGAGAAAGCATCTAATTCTGCCCCAAAATGCCCCGGAGGGGGCCGGGGCTCCCGCTGCCCGCGGGCTCCGCGACTCCCGGGGTCCGGGGCAGAGCTGGGGGGTCCCGCAATCCCTCCCGCAGCCCCGGCTCCCCTTCGCTTCTCCCTGCTGCGCTTCCCCAGGAGCCCCTCGGGGCCGGGAGCCCCCCTGGGAGCCCGGCACCCCCGGAGCTGCCCCTGTCGGGGCGAGGCGAATCCCTGCCCTCCCCTGGCCGCCAGCGTTTGCTGCGCTTTGCTCTGGGGCGCCCCTGCTCTGAGAGCCGATCGCAGGGAGCAGCCTCGGGGCACTGGTTTTTGAGCTGCGGTAAGTGCGAGGGAAAATAAATAAATAAAGAAACAAAAATAAAAACGCAGAAACCAAACCCCAAGCTCAAACATTTCGCTCAACCGGTTGCAACTTCTCGGCTGGCCCGGAGGGGGGAGCAGGGGGAGGGAGAGTGGGGGGGGGTGAAGCGGTGCGGGGGCTCCGTGCCCGGGGCAAGGCGGGAGCGGGGGACGAGGGGGCGGCCTCAGCATCATCCCCCCCGGGGCTGCCGCTGCTCCGCCCCGCCGAGGGGCGCTGGGGGGGCGGCGGCCGCGCCTCGAACTTGGTGGGGGCGAGCGGGGAGAGGCTGCGGCCATGGCGCCGTGAAGCGGTGGCGGCGCCGCGCCGGGGAGCGGGGCACGGCGCGGCGGCGGTGGTGGTCGGCACGGTGCTGCCCTACGGTGCCTGCAGGTAAACCCCGTCCCCAGCCGCCCTCCCGGTCCCTTTCGGTCCCTATCCCCCGGCGCGGAGCTCGGGGAAGGGGACGCGGGGATGCTTTGGCGCATCCCCCAAAACCTCCGTCCGTCCCCGGGGCCGGCAGCGGGACCCCCGGGGGTGGCTGCCCGGGAGCCCCTCGCTTTGCTGGGGCGCCCCCGGGGGACAGGAGCCCCGGGTGGGCTCCTGAGAGCCGCAGCGGCCGGTGCCGGCAGGGGGAGCCGGGGGCCAGGCGGAGCGGCGCTGGTGGGGAGCGGAGCCCCCCCAGCACCCGGCTTTCCCCGGGCACTGCCTGGTGCAGCTCCCCCCAAATCCCCAGAAGGAGCAGGGTACCCCCCGAAGGCAGCGCTGGTTTTGTCCCGGAGAAGGAAAACCGTCCCGGGGGGGACGCCCCCGGACTTCTGTCGCCCTGGGGTGTCCCTCGGTACTTGTGGTCGGCTGGCGAGGCTCCGGTCCGGGGCGGACCTGAATTTTGGCACTTTGCGAAGTGCAGGCTCGGAGTTGGCGTTCGCCAACCGCGCAGGAGGCGCCCCGGTGCGCTCTATCCCTCTTTATTTTCTCGAGGATTGCTCCAGCGGATTACTCCAGCGGGTAAATGACAGCTGTCAGGCTTTGTCGTGTCTGTCCGGATGGAAGTGTGCGGGGCAGATTGTCGCGGCGATAGCCTCCCGGGGTGTGTGGGGGGGTCTGTCAGTGGCACCCGGCTCCGTAGCGCACCGTGCCCTGCTGCCAGCGCCTGCACGCAAACGCGCCCTGGCAAAGAGAGAATCCGCAAGATTGCAGCCAAGGAAAGCATCCTGAAACTGAAAACTTGTTATAGTGTAATAGCGTGCTTGGGCAGCCTTAGGATAATTTAGAAGAGCGTGTTTTCTGAAAGCGAAATACTTCTTTTCTAATTTTAATTTTTATCAAGACTAAAATAGTGCTAGCCCAGCTAGGACTCTGTGAAATCAGAATAACTAGATTTTTCATAATGGAACTTGCACTCAGGTCTTAAATGTAGCGCTTTGGGCACCTTCGGGCTGGTAAGTAAGTAAGGCTCTGACATGATTTAGCAAAGTTTGACTAACTAAGAATTGTTGAACTTGGTGATGTCACATCTTTGCATGGAGAGACTAATGGTACTCAATCAAAACTGCGTTGCTGTTTGTAAAGGCTAAGATATGGCCTTAAGTGCTCCGTCTGGTGAGAGAGATTTTGGTAGCCTGCTGTATTTTGTGCTGTGTTCCCACCTTCCTGGCCAGCATTTAACTTCATTACGCTTACTAATGGGTTCATCTCAATTCCTCATTTTAATGTTGAACAGCTGCGAGAGGTCCCGCTGAGAGCAAAGGCTTGGCTCCGGAGGGTGGCAGTTTATAAAAACAAAATACTGTTTTGAACTAAGTAGTGTAAATGCTTGCTTTTAAGTTGTATCCTACCTTCCTTAGGATGTTGTAACAGTTTTGTTTTGACTGAGAAAGCTGAAGGCATTGGTATCAGTAGTGTCTTATTGCTTTTAATCTTTAACCAGTGCTGTTTTCTTAAAATATTTGCAGGTAGTAGGAGTGCTTGTGCACTTTGTAATGATCCATAAACTTTGGTTATAGCAGGTTTGTTGTGCTGATTTCCTGTTGGGCAGGCATGCAGAGGGTGGTAACTATTTATTCCTGCTGTTTTCAGAAGGAAAAAACCTTGGTTTTGGTGGTGGTGTTTTTTTCCCTCCCACAGGCAGCTCATGGAAACCACGTGGATTTTAACTTGTGTTGATGTAGTCCTATACACGTACAGGATTACCGCTGAATGAAGTTCATTACTTTCCAGTGAGTAAACTATTTATTACAAGCCATAAATCGCAGAAATACGACTGAAGCCTCCTGCAAACTTTATTCTCTGTGTCAGAAGTTGTGTGAAGGAATTCAGCACAGGAACAGCTGAGTTCCTGGGCAAGCAGGGGCAGACCCCGTCCGTGCTCCATGATTTGAGGGCTGCCTCTCTGGGCGCTGCCAAGGCTCATTTCTGTGCTGTCGGACAACACGTAAGTGGCTAGCTGATAGTGCTATCAGTTTCTCGGAGGTGTGTACTACCAGTTGCTACTAGGGGTGTGTATGCAATCTGATTCTGCGTTACTTAGCGTCAGGCAGTACCTCGTAATTAGTTAATATGTTGCGATGACTGAATTCCGAGTAGCAGTGATACGAGATGTAGCTGTAGGTTTAACATCTGGTTTATGAAATTTTGATATCATCTCAATACTTGGTAATATATGCTCTGGAGTTGCTATAGCTTCTGAGATAAATTAGTATTGCTGCTGCCGTAATTATAAGAAGCAGCATTGAGGAAGTTCTAATGTTCTGTGACATTGTTTTATGGAGATCTTTATTGGGAGTTCTTGTCAATGCTAAATTTTCTCCAAATTATTGTTAATCAGTCTGTTTTTCTTCATTATCCTCCTTTTATCCTCTTTTGCATGTGTATTCATTCCTCGTTGAAGTTACAAACTAGACATTTGGTGTCACCTCATGTGTGTGGTAAAACTGTAGCTGACTCAAAATAATAGCTTTTCTTTTTATCAAAACATTTTCAAACTGACCCTTCTGTGATATGTAGCTTTTGTCAACTGCTTCTGGTAGGCTAGTTTTAATTTGGAGGCTGCAGCACTGCAGCTGTGACCTATAAAAGACAGGTGGCAGTCTGCTCTCTGTAATTCTTCCAGAAACCTGCTGAATTTCACAGTTTGAGTCGTGCAGGTTAGGCATACTTTGCTGTTAAAGCTGTTGCTGCTAAAACAGCAAACTGTTTTCACAAAAGACTGGGGATTTTATTTTAGCTTGCTTCATAAGCGTGTCCAATTATTTGTTTAAGAACTTTGCCAGGTTGCATCGAAGTATAGCACATTTGGCTAACATTTGTCAGGAAGGTAGCAAATGTAAACCAAGCTAATGACCACAAAACTGCAGCCTAATTAGTGTCTTGCTCTTGATTTTGCTAGAAATGTATGTTCCAAAGTATAAGGCATGTAGATCTATTGCTATTTAGTGGATTTGTTAATGTATTTATTCTCAACTTTGCCTCTTCTCCGAGGTGATTTGACATAATCTGGCTGTCTGCTGCATAAATCAATTCTGTCTCTATACTCATTATTTTTGTATAAATACATTAATAAAATCGGGGACCACTTGGAAAGAAAGCTGTATTTGTTCCCCAGAGTATATTAGGAAATCAGGTAACTTCAGAAAGGAGCTCATGTTTGGTGGTGGTGGTGGTAGCAGAATGCTGGAATTAGCATAAAGTCTGCATTGAGACCTTTGCAGATGAAATTTTTGTGTTTAACTCAAATCTCAGAACCATATTTTTGAATGTTATCTTTTCAAAGAGTTTGATTTATTTTAGCAGACTTTAAGTTCTGTGTATCAAGTCAGCTGCACTGTCACTTCCAAACTTATCTCTGTTGAGCTCATCAGTGTTATTCAATTTCTGTGTAATAGCAAAATGGCATAGATTTTCACTCCTTTTCCCAATTTTGAAATCAGGATATCTCTCTGAGCTCCAGTATACCTTAGAGTTGTTAGATCATCCATTACTGAAAGAACTGGTCAGTATTTTCATGACTGGGGTTTCTACCATCCCAATAATGTAATGGAAATTGTTTTACTCAGAGGACATTGAATAGCTGTGAATCTTTGGCATATAGTTTGCTGATTTTGAATGCATTGCTAGATGAACAGTAACATGCAACCTTTTAGTAGTGCTTGGTTTAGGGGAAGCTTACAGAAATTATAACTTTCAGAAAGCTGAAATGCAGCCTGTTGCTGTCCTATGTCTCTGTAATGTTGGGGATGCTTTCTGAGCTTTTACAAAACACACTCCAACCCATTCACTGGGTGTATGTGATGGCTGCAGGGTTGGCTTACAATGCAAGTTGGAAGTCTTGAAGAGATGGGCCATACTGCAAATTGTGGAGTTTTCCCAGTTTCTTTTCCATACACCTTCTCTGAATGTCACTATTGAGCTCCTTTTTCTGCTGCCCTCCTTGCCTGAATCTAGGTAGAAGATCACAGCACTATTGAAAGTTCACTAGCACTTGCATTGGCCCCAATGATTATGAAGCATACTGTACAACCTCTGCTGAAATGGCCTGGTGTGGCAGTAGGTGTACAGGATAGAGCCCTTTCTGTTGACCTTGTCCAATAAAAGTAAAATTGGACCAGTGTTTAATAGTGAGGAAAACTCCTGGTCTTGCCAGTTATGAGAGGATACATAATGTGTATTGCCTTGTGTGTCTTTCTCTACTAAGTCAGAGTCAAAACTGAAGGTTGTGGGAAGGGATTGCGTCTTGTGCACAGTCAATGGCTGCTCTTTTCTGTGATGGGCTTCCTGGCGTGTTCTTCAACAACAGAACCCAGATTAAGGAACACACCAGCCCAGATGAACTGCTGTTTTTTGATGTTCTCATCTATTATACCTTGTTCTGCTTCCTACGCTGAACTCACAGTAGGGTTATGTGGTTATTTTACTGGATTACTATCAAAATCAATGGTGGTGGTGGAATTCTAATTTTTAATCTAGCTTCTTTCACTCCAATCCGTACTTTTTTTTGCTCACTTTTTCAACCTAAGCAATGACATCAAAATATTTAGTAAGAATGTTTAGGAGAAAGTAAGTGTACAAAATAATAGTAAAATCACTATTAGCATCTGATGCTATATTGACCAGTGCTTCACTGTGGGACCCATACTGTAGCCAACAGACAGGATTTCAGCATTGGAAAGGAACAGAGAGGGCTGTTTTCTGACAGTGCTCTTCAAGGCTAGCCATCTGAAGAGTCAGGCTTATGAGCTAGCTGCAAAGTTGAAGTAGCTCAAGTTGGTGTGGGTAGTGTACCTGTTTCTGATGTTGTAAATCCACATCCCCTCTTGCTTACTAGAACACTTAGAG